TTTCAATTTATATTTTATTTATTTAATTTTTATTTTTTTATAGTTTTGTCTTTTTTGAGACAGGGTCTCTCTATGCAGTTCATTCTGGCCTTGAGCTCACTTTGTAGCCCAGGCTGGTCTTGAATTTGCAACAATCCTCCTGCCTCAGCCTCCCGAGTGCTGGGATTACAGGAGTGCACCACCATGCCCGGGTTTTGTTTCAATTTTTATATTTAGGTCTTTATCCACTTTGAGTTTTATGTATGGAATGAAATAGGTGCAGAATTTAGTTTATTTTTCTACACATGGGTATCTAGTTTTTTATACACCATTTTTTGAAAATGCTATCCTGTATTATGAATTCTTGATACTCTTACTGGATGTCTACTCATTGTTGCATTGGTCAGCTCTCCTGCTGCTGGGAAAAAATATCTAAGACACACAATTTAAAGGACAAAACGTTTCATTTGGCTCAGGGTTTCAGAGGGTTTAGGCCATGGTTGGCTGGTTCCAAAGCAGAAACCTCCTCTGGAAGGGTTTGGCGCAGGAATGCTGCTCATCTGATGAGCCGAGAAACAAAAGTAGGGAAAAAAACAGTGGCAGAGAGGAAGGGGCCAGGAGCCAGGGGCTGGATATTGTGCACCAGGTCATGCTCCATGACCACACAGACACACCCAGAAGTGTGCTTTACTAATCTCTTGTGTGGCTCTCAAGCCAATCAATTTGACAATCAAGCTTAACTATTCCAACTGTAAATGTATGGTTTTACTTTTGGGTTCTTTATTCCATGGGTCTGTATGTATGTTTTTATGTCACTACCATTCTGTTTTTGCTTATTGTAGATTTGTGTTATAATTTAAAGCAAGGAAGTGTGATGACTTTAGCTCTGATCCCAAGATCTATTGATACGAGGATAACTTTGAGTTTTTGTACTGATATTAATTGTATTGAGGTAAGTTTCTCTTATACCTATTTTGGTATCAGTTTTTACAATGAAAAGACACTGAATGTTTCAAATCTTTTTTTCTGCATGTTTTGAGTTGATTCTGTGGTTTTAATTTTTCATCTTTGCATCCTAAGAATAAATGCTTGATCATAGGAATAAACCTCACTTGGCCATGTATGATTATTTTAGTGTGCTCTTCAATTTCCTTGGTAGTTTTATTAAGGTCTATATCACATTAATAATTAATATAATTAAACCATTGTCTGGCATAACCCTATGTCAATGATAACACAAAATAGCTGTTAACATTTTTGTGAATAACAATTTTTAAGGTAGGCAGATTGTGTTGAGCCTTAGTGTCCTTCTCAACAATGGTGTGAGTCTGAGTTAGTTAACTATTTCCATGAAACTCAGTGCCCTAATCAAAGAAAGCATTCAGTATTTAAGTTTGCTCTGAGGATTAAGAGGGTTAATGTATGCCAATCTCTCAACCTAGTGTCCTTTACTTTTCAGGTGCTCCCTAAAAGAAAGCTGGTATTATAGCTGTTACTGTCTTGCAGCCCTTCTCATTTTCACTAGCATCCTAAAAATAGGTCTGGCAATATCTATAAATTTTATGAGTAGAAGGAATCTACATTATGCATCAAACCCTGCTTTCTTTTCTGTGACAACCTAACACAACAACAGTAAAACCTGTCTTCTATAATTTATAATGCCTCATGTTCTCCACTATTGGATTAGTAAGATTCAGCTCTAAAGCCCTGGCCTACTTACACTCAGCGTATAGTAAAGAACCAGGGACGAAACATCATCTGAGTGAGTGTTTACAGCTCAGTTGCACTTGGGAGTTTTTGCTAAACTCTGGGACCCTGACCGTGGTTATCCCACCAGTACTTCCGTTATCCCTCCATTTTCTCTGACTTAGGATGGTTTCCTGAAGTGCAGAGTCTGAGAGACACTGAAATCCATATGGCCAGCCCACTTGTACAAACTTTTGACATTACTTTGGAATTGAAAACATGTTATAAAAATTACATAGACTTTCCCCAGAAAGTGTAATCATCATTTAAAGAATTCCAAGGATTCACAATTAGTAGTATCTTTCCTTTCTACTCTAAGCCCCAGCAGGTAAAACAGTTGAAACTC